TCCTTACTTTCACTCATATTTGCAGATTCAGGTGATACATTATTAACGATTCTGAGTATAATAAAGATTTCAGTGATACAGAAGCTAGGTAAGGCTCGGAAGACCCAATTAAAAGATTTAACAATGGAACGAATGTTATCTTGTCCTGACAACACTAATAATACCGACCAAAGTACGATTCCTGTTAATATGAATACCGCCAGTATCATATTCTGTGCCGTGGAGTGGTCCTTGAAGAGGAAGCTGAAAGCATAAGCCATGGCCAGGCTCGACGTGCCGTAAAGAAATACCAATATCAGAAAGTTAACATTTGGGAAGGGAAAGAGGCATCCAGCCTCGGTGAAAATGGCTAATATCACGAATATGGAAACAGTGGTCACGAGGTAGGACAGCAGGTCAAAGATGAAGTTTGAGAGCCAGTAAATCGAGAAGTACAGTCCTGACATTTTCTGCAGGTGCCGAGATTTACATGATCGCTCTCTCACAATTAAGGATATAAAGGTTGACGGTATGAAAAGGAGAATCAGAAGAAACAGAAGCCAAATTAAAATACCTGTTAGAGTACACTTGGAAGCGTCACCACCCTTTGATAGTGGGCTCAATGCAGCCACAAGCAACATGAGGCCAATAGGGAGGATAGTCTGAGTAATGTAAATGCGGGAATACCGCAACGTAAATAATGTACGCTTTTTGAGCATCGCTTTGAGTTGACTCATAATAATGGAGGACTCAGAGTGCAACAGTTCCACGCCCCACACACTAGACGAAGCCTCTGCGATGACCGCCTCTTGGGTCTTGCGTTGTGCTATTTGTACTTCTTCTTGCACTACCGGGGTGTCGGGGGTGTCATCTTGCGAAATAGAGATAAATATTTGCTCCAGCGTTGTCTCAGCCACGACGTAGCCCGTATCCAGTCCTAACTCCTTCCCGTGGTTCTCGATATCAGCTAGCAGACGGGGGAACGTCTTCCTGGCTGACGTCGGCAGTTCGAAGGCTAATTCCCCTGGAGCGCTGTCAGTGAGCTTAGCCTTCGGCTCGTACGAGTCGACCAAATTCGTGATCAGCTGACTGTCTGCGCCAGGGTGAACAGGCATCGTGAGTACATACCCCACGCCTAGACGTGACTTGAGGAACATGTTGCTGCCCGCGCAACGGAGTCGGCCTCTCTTTATAATCGCGATGGAATCGCCGAGCATTTCCGCCTCATCCATGAAATGTGTTGATAGAAGGATGGTGCGTTGCGATGACATCATTCGTGTAAGATCCCAGATCTGTCGCCGTGCAAGAGCATCCACACCGGCGCTTGGTTCATCTAGAAGGACAAACCGGGTACCGGCCACAAAAGCAATTAGCACACACAGCTTCCGCTTCTGCCCTCCGGAAAGGTGCTTTGCCAGGGAATTTTCCTTGTCCTTCATACCGATACTAGCAAGCATGCTCTCAATGGTGACCTCGCGCTCACCTCTGTTCAAGCCCCTTATCGAGCCGTAGAACCTCAAGTGCTCTCGACAGGTCAGATTCGGCCATAGGATATTCTGCTGGGGGCAGTACCCCAGGCCATGACGCACGCGATGCAGCTGACCCCGCACGCTGTGTCCGTAAATGTGGCAGTCCCCGGTGTCGATTTCCGACATCCCCGTCAGCATGTTCATCAGTGTGGTCTTGCCGGCACCGTTCTGCCCTAAAAGCACGGAAATCTCCCCCTCATGCAAGGCCCAGTGCAGGTTGTTGACCGCAAGCAGTTCAGCCCCACCGCGATGATACACCTTAGTCATCCCAACAATGCGGACAGAATAGGAGCTCGCATCTCGCATAGGCTCAAACTCACCGTTCCGATAGCGACCATCCTCGTGATTGTCGTTCAACCCGGCCCGTCTCCCACGGCAGCAGCAAGCGCGGATCGGGTCCGCTATAAAGAAGAATGGACTTTTCCTTACGCCCCACTTATTTTGGAGAACAGCGTCAAAATACAGCATCAGCAACCCATAAGCGATAAATTGCAGGAATAACACAAGATTGTATTTATAGGTAATATCAGTGGTTGTGAAAAATGGAATTACTGACGTTATCTGGTATTTCAAGAGCATAGCGATACCTTCTTCAACGCAAGTGATCGGTGAAAACACTATTATTAACGGATTTCTTACGTAATTTCCCACTATCAAGAGAGCCAAATATATAAAGAACGACATCACCGATGCGATGCGCGCACTATTGAAGAATGTTGCAATGAATCCAAAGCACGTAACCAATGTCATAGCAAATAGGAAGAAAAGTGTGAAAATACAGAAAAAGTCAGGCTTGGACAGATATATAAACTTGAGAACCAAAGCGATAATCAGAGACATAACGCCGCACTCGATGAAGTAGAGAATGATCCAGGAGGTGTACTGAACACCCAGAGACAGTCCCATGATGGTCATCATTTCGCGCAGTTGTAACTCCTTCTCAAGTACAATTCGCTTGGTGATATTCATCACGAAGAAAAAGTAAGCCAAAACTGTAATCAATCCCATACCATATGTAAAGGTTCGTAAGGACTCATTATCATTCGTAAAATCCTCTCCAAAGCTCTGAGCCAAAAAAGA